AATAATATATAGAATTCAAAAAAAAGAGATAAATTTGATATGACTGTAGATTGTAAAACATTGATTTTGTTACATGTTAAATACATCTTAGTTTAACATGAACCCTTCACCTAATATAATATGAATAAAGCATAGCCTCAAAGAGAGCTTCTCGACTAAATTTATAAATTATTGCACATTAAGCATTTATTTAATCGGCTGCACAATCTTAAGTACACATTACTTTACATTTCTACATACTTCCGTCCATGCCATTAACTCCTCAGCACCTTTATTTACTTTCGGAAAACGGCCGTAGGTGTTTTACTCTATTTATTAACTGAATGCCTTAAACTTTCCAGAGAACGTTATCTGACTAGAATCTAACTTAAAAGACCCAAACTTAACAAGAATCCTGTTTCGATACAGTATTGTAAAACGGAAGCTGATACTACCTCAGTGTCTATTTATTTTTATTCTATGTTGTGTAAATACATTACATATAAAGGGAAATTATTTTTACTATAATTTATCAAATATTGTTTAGTATATTTCAATTAGTGAACTCGAACTATCAAGTACATTAGATTTTTTAGGATCGTATTTTTTCTGACGATCCCTAATGCGCTATGAGTTTCATTTCTGGAAAAGAACTTAGTGTTAGGGTTGACTGTAATTGGCAAGGTGTTTAACTGTGGTCTGAATATCAATTTTATATACAAACCATAATGAGATAAAGAATAAAGGATTTTTATTCTGTTAACCAATATTTAAAAAAAAATACGAAAAACAATGTTTAGATTTCTAATTCATTTTCTCTGGCATAATACGAACCGAAGTTATTTGAAATATTTAAAATGATTGTCTGTGTTGTTTGTTTAAAAAGTATACTTTTTATTAAAAACATCGGTTGTTTTACTTTATGTTACAGTATCAAAATTGTACGACATTTGTACACTAAAGCAATTCCTTGAAAAACAAAAAAGAAAACATAAAAAACAAATGAATATTATTGTCAACATGTAGCTGATTTATGTTTCACAGCTCTGTGATAAAAAAGAACTTATTAAACTGATATTTGATCATTGTTTGCGAATATTTTACATTTCATACATGTTTATAATCCTTATTTAATGTTTCGTAGGGAAAAAAATGTAGTTTTAAAACACATAGTAGCATCATGTTTTTCAATTGCACTAAATGTATCATGATCCGATTTTATGTAAAAGTTTGGTGTTATTTGTGCCACATGACTTGTTTTAAATTACCATCTAGTATAACAATATTACACGGAAATATTCCGAAATTGTATCTCATAATATCACACAAAGAGCATGTATCAATTGCAATAAGTACATATCTTACTACGTAATATTTGTAATAAAAGAACAAGAACTAGAATTACTTATTTGTTAGCTACCGACACGTGAAGGGCATGTGTTCCATTACTAATAGGAAACACGTGAAGTGTGTCTTTTTGTTATCAGAGATATTTTTCTTTGTAAATTGATATATGAACTTCAAGACTAAAGGTAATACTTCTTTTAATTTTACACGTTGAATGGTTATACGATCGTGACGTATAATGAAAGTGTGACATGTCGTGTCACAAATTTCTAGCAAATATATTGTAAAAAAATAGGTCTTGCATTGTTTGAACAGTACATACGTCAGTAAAACATATTGACGGTGAAATATTTCATTTCTTAAAAATAGTGTTTCTATTTGTTTTATATTAAATATATCACACTTCAACAAGCCATATGATATTCTAAAATCATTAACGAATATGCCATTAAATATCCAGTGAATCATTCAACGTAAATCACAGTGTCCCCTGGTATTCATTTATATGTAATAAATAGTCCCATTTAAAAAAGGACTAAACTTAATTCGCACTACATAGTCCCCCTCCCCCTTTTACACTTTCTTACTCTAATATTCTACTTTTCACAGCATTAGGAATTATTTACAATTTGATATTATAATTTAAAGGTAGATATCAGAACGCATGAAGACGTTTGGGATAAGAGATCTGAAAATGAAAGAAATTCGGGAAACATATCATCTTTAAACGTTATAAATGATAATATTGCGTACCTTTCAAGATAAATATTCAAAATGTGTTAGGAGAAAGCAATCATTTCTATGTGAAATAACCAAACATGTGTCCTTAGTGTTTCATAAATAATTCTTAGTTCGTCAATACTTTAATATATAAACGCTTTCTATAGGATACTTCAAATAATTTTTTATCATCAATATTAATCACGAGTGTCTGTCTATAACTATCAATTTATTCATTTAACCAATAAATTGATGAATAGAGGTTTTAGTTTTTATCTTTTTGTGATAACTTGTTCTGTATATTTTTCTTTGTTTGAAGGGCAATTTGAAAAATATATGTATTTCATTTTCATTAACTTTGAAACACTATTATGCTACCTTCTTGAAAGAAAATATATCATTGAAATATTGATTGTATTTGAGGCATGGTGATATACATGTCACATTTTGAAACAAAAATAAAAAAGATCATTTTCAATGTTTTCTGTATTTTTGGAAACTATTTGTTGTACATTAAAGGCTCATTTATTTAAACCTACAAATGCTAGATCATGATTATATATATATATATACTTCACATATAGCGTACACGGTTATAGCGAACAAATTATTTGTTATAAAAATATGGTTAAAGCGAACACGGTTAGAAGGAATTATTGCTTATAAGGAACTCATTTTCTAGTCCCAATTAAGTTAAAAGTACAGAAAAACAAACTTTAAAATATTGGCTATCGGTAAATAGATATTTCGTTTTCATCGGCACGGATTAACACTCAGCCGAATGTACCTAATTTTATTGTTGTATGTACTTCAATACAGCTATGAAAAAGAATTTGTATAGCAGTACGTAATATTTTTCTATTTAGAATATTTTTAGCATGAGTTCTTATCACCAAGATAAAAAGACTATTCATTTTATTTCTTTATATTTCCTTCTTAAATAGTTTTGCTCGAGGAAATTAATTATGATCTGATTTACAATCGGTTTTCAACAAAATAACGCATGCTTTTTCTTGTGTAAAATCCATTGAAAATACATAGTACGCTTGATTGAAATGAAAAGAAATCTAAATTTTTCATTCGTCATGGTCACTCCTAGAATATAATAGCAGATATTACATAAAAAAGGAAGGAAAATTCGAAATCTTGTTTATTCTAAATGACGAACCAAAATGAGTTATTTTTCTTAAACAAAATGCTCTTCAAAATGGAGGACGATGATAAAAAAGAATCATTTCGTTGTATGTAAATCTGCTCGCTATGAAAACTCCTGATACAAGGCACAAATTCGCTATATGCTAACAAGGAACTCCGGATATAAGGAACAGATTTGGAATGTCCCAATGAGTTCGTTAGAAGCAGAGTGTACTGTATAATTAGTTAGAATTCTATATGCATGATAAATCAGTCGTATGTTTTTGCTACCTTAATCACAAATTATATTACATATTACACTTTTCTTCTGACGATAAGCAACTCATGTGTTCTGAATCCGTTATAACAACAGAATTTAAAAAAAACGTATTTGCCGCTTCTGTTTCCAAGAAGGAACCAATATTCATTTCTGAGGCAAATAAATTATATCAAAATCATAATTTACTTGATAGACGCGTGTCTTGGATAACATAAATACTTGCTTTTCTTCCTTTGTATATTAATATGCATATTCAGAATGTCATATTTTGTGATCTGTGTTTCTCTAAATAAAGTGTATGTTCTGTTCTATTAACTAAACTTAATATCGATGAAGATTCACTTTGGACAAAAATCAAAATGGTGCACCGATAATTTCTTTAATACCATCATTTCTTTTGTTTTCTTGTTTTACTAAGCTTTATGAGAAAGCTGATACTTATGTTTGGTTTTCAAACAACTTGTTGCATCTTTTCAGACAAAACTAATTTTTCATTAAACGTAAAGGGTATAAAGCCATACGTTATATCATATTTTATAAAATTTATGAACAAAATTGTATTGGTTCTTTAATCTTATGGTCGATTCTCAAAAGAATTCTAACATAGAATGTCTTTGTTATTTAACACTTACGAATATTGTAATTTTACAGAATCAAATGTTCATAAGCAAAATAGTATTCTGCTATATTAAGTATAAGTAATAATTCGTGCATGCGCCACCCTCTTTTAAGGCAACTTACTATCACAATTGTTTCGACGCATGTTTGTTTAAATATAACAATAAGGTTCCCAGCAGATATATAGCTTTATGCGCTTTAAGAAAAAAATTGGCTAAAACTTTTACTTCCAAAATTCAATTTTATTTAGGAAGACAAAATGCGTTATCATAAGGTAAGACACATACGATTTGTTTAGTTATTCTCCCAAAATTAAACTATATACATTTAAAAACATTTAGCATAAGATTGTTTTAAAGTTAACGTGTAAACAAATATTTAGTATGTGTACATTTGATATTAATGATTTTTTTTAATTTTACTTTATTACGAAAATGAAAAGCCTGAAAACATAAAATTTTCGATCATGAATTGTTTTGAATTTGATTTTTTTCTTTTTTATTATTATTAAAAAGAAATGTCTTGAAATAAACTGCCTTCCAATTTAACCGTCGAGTTTTTTTTCCGGCCACGATGATAATATATTTTTATCAATAAAGAATCACCTTTAACTTACATATGATAAATTAACATGACTTATGGGCTTATTCACTTACAGGACGTAATATGAAAATGGCAGCCTCCGCGGATTAGTTGTTTTTTGTTGTTTCGCAGTATTCTTATGTAGACATAGCAGCAACACCGAGTCAAATGCCAGATAACGAGATTGCTATATAAATTCCGGCACTGATTGGCGTCATCTTGATTAAAACCTTTGGGACGTGTGAATGGAATGATATCGTGAAATCTTATAAGTTGATTATTTGTTGATTCATTCGGAAAATATTGATGCCTTTGCATAAAGAAAACGCAAACTACAATGTAAAATAAAATAATGTTTATGCGACGGCATTTTACTGTTATTATTTATAATACTTATAATACATAGATATGACATATATGAAAATTTATATACAATTGAAATGAGTAGAATCATCGGAAAAAACTGAAAAAGAAACTGTATTATAACAAAACAATAATGTCAGCAGACCAGAAGAACAAAATAATAACACTTTCAGAAATGGCATATTTATTAGCGTTTATCATAGAAAACAACTTAGCTGCTTCAGTACAACAATCCATTTGTGATTTTCCTAAAGTTTATATTCTTTAGATTATTTCCCAACAAAGTCCCGCATGCGCTTTCCTACAAATTCTCTTAAACGTTTGCCGATAAATTCTCGCATCCTTTTATCTTCATTGAAATTGTCATAAAGGGCGGGTGAAGATCGTTTTCCTATCAATTCTCTTTGGTATCTTGGCTGACGTAATCTTCTATAATATCCTTCTGGAGTTAAACGTTTACCGACGAATTCCCGTAATCGTTTAGCCAAATAAGAGTAGTCATTATAATCTCTTTTACCAATAAATTCTCGTAATCTTTTGTCGTAAGTTTCAAATGTGTCATCCTCGGCGTCGTTATCGTAATATTGTGAACGCTTCCCGACGAATTCCCTTTGACGTTTTTCCATGTCGTCGATATCAAAATCGCGTTTTCCAAGAAAGTCTCTCATCCGTTTTTCTGTTTCAAATTCAGGTGATGAACGTTTGCCAATAAATTCTCTTAATCGTTTGTCAACGTTGTTATCATACATGTAACCGTCGGAATCCGAATCAAGTTCATCCATATCTAAAGCCTCATCAGCTGAACGCTTGCCTATGAACTCTCTTTGTCTTTTATCATCATTTGATTTAATGTCTTCAAAATCACTAATATCTCTTCGAGTTCTGTCAATCTTTTCATTGTCTATATCATTTGTTGATTCCATGCATCTTACAAAGTGTGCAAGACAAATTGTTGTACAAAATATAACTAATGTAGAATCTAACTCTTTTAAAAATTTCATTTTCCAAACGCTCCTATAATTCTTTCTATTCTTATTATTCTAACTTCTATAGTTAACTTCTTTCTTCAGAGTAATCGTCTGTCTTGTAAGCACCAATTCAAAATACCAATATTTCCTCTCTGATGTTTCCTTTTATTTACAAGCGCACGCCCTCTTTGTGACGTTGCATACATAATTATGAAGCTGAAGAATTGGCGTATTGAATCTCGAGAAAACAGGCTCCTACACAAATATTGGCACTAACAAAATGCCACTTAGCGCTAAATATTGACCATAACTCTCGAAGGGAATCACAGACGCGATAAAACCCTATGGTATTTTCTATCACGATGATTTTAAATTATTGCTATCAAATTATGCAATTACTTCTATTATTCAGTGCCAATAGCTATTAAGTAGATACACTCTAATTGAATTGACACGGCATGAAAGGTTTCCAACAGCGGCCGTGATTGTATTGTAAAAGTGGCTCCTTCCGAAAACCTTCAAACTTTTGAGGGAAAATAACATCTCGAAGTGACGATGATTAGAGATAATGGGACTAAAATCATTTTCTTTCTCAGTTTGTTCTTGTTTGTATTTTGTTTACTTTCCGATTCGCATTGTGTAGATTAATCCTTGAAAAATTGTTATCAGAATCTGCTGTGTGTATCCAATTTGGTTCCATATTTTGATTTCCTCCTCTATGAGGACATAGTTTTAAAAGTCTGTTTGAGTTTCCGATTGATTCCACGAAATTTACAAGCTTTTAATAGAAGCTACTCCTTGAATTTATTATTGTTATTCAAAGATTTAACGGATTCTCTCTCTGATAATGTAATCTGACTGAGAAAGATAAATTTTGTAGGAAAAGTTTTTTGATAATTTGAAGCAATAAAATACATTTATATGGTATAAATCTACATAATTATCTGATAAATCTTGTACAGTATTGTTCCGTTTTCAATTGTTTTATCCATAAAAATTTAAAATCAACCTCAAAATTGTTATCAAAATAGTATATGAAAAAAAGAGAGTGTAACTAAAAAAATCTGAAAGTGTAATATCTAAACAAACTTGTGAATGAATACGTAAATTATAACATTAAAAAGCGTTTTAAGATTTTAATCGTATGAAAACGTCAGGTCTAAGTCTTAATAAAAGCTGTGGTGAAAATTGATATCAGTCTTTTGTATATATATTTGGGAAGGTATATTTCTATAGGTTATGTTTTACTATATTTGTGAAATAAAAAAGATTTTAAAAAAATCATTAGAACCAACAAAAGGTCGACAACAGGTCTACTATTATAAGAGTCGGGTTATCATAATATAGAATTTCTTTGGTTTTGTTCCAAACTAACTTAACACATTAACAAGGAAGAATTAATTGCGGATTCATGCGAATATAGTTTTCAAAGTCAATTCAAGCAATACAGCCACCATATAAATACTCTCGTGTAATTTTACTTTAGATTCATTTTTCATTCTGTAATCAAAAATTTATCATGTAGTTTTTTTGGATTTCTTTATATTTTGAAACATAAATTTCTGTGTGTTAAAAAAAGAAACTTACAATGTGTTATTTTTTATTTATTTATTTATTTATTTATTTATTTATCTATTTATTTATTTTTAATTTATTACGTAAGTTGGTGATATAAAAACAGAATTCACTTTCGCAAAGCAATTTGATATGTTGATTTTTGGACGACTTTGGTTGAACTTTTCATGTCTCTGCAGCTTACATTTATAATTGTAGATCCAGATATTTTAATAGCTCAATTACTTTAGAAAAAATGAATTCTTTGATATTGAGATGATCAAGTTAAAATTTTTACGTGAGACTTAGTATAAATGACTTGATTTACATTAGTCTGATGAAAATACTACGAGAAGAATTGCTTTTTGTAAAATCTAACTTCAATATTAAAGCTGCACACCTCCAGATGAGCCAAAATATTTCAAGAAATTCAATCTTTAGAGAAATGTATTAAGATCTTAAGAAAAGTAAATAGATTCAATATTTAATTAATTATTAACACGTTATGTGCGATTAATGAATGTTATTGCAGCATCAATCACTATAATTCTACTGCGTTACTAACGCGAGGTATTTATGTCTATTTTGACCTCTTTTATGTAATTAACGTGGATTGTAAATGTCGTTTGAAATGTGTATTTTACTTTCTTTGTTCACTTCACAATATTTTACTCTTAAAAACATTTCCAAAATTTTCATGAAAATTAGCATGAATCTTGAGGAACGCTGCTTTACAGTTAATCACCACTGAAAGACATGCTAGACATATTTAACATTTAACATAAAATGTATCTGTTGAATTTCATCTTATTCCAATAAACGTGTCTGTGATATTGTTTCGACACATTGGATAACAAAAACAACCACTTTGTAACGATTTCTCTTTTTTGTCGTTGTTTTTCACGATATTCGACGTGCCTTTGTAAGTGATAAGATATGGCAAAACATTTCTATTTTATGTTATTTTTAAGGATGGGGCAAATTATTACCGGAATTAATAATGTGTTTATAATTTCCCATTTTATTGATTAGACTTATAGAATTATAAATTATTGTACACGAATTTGAAATATAATATAATGATAATAGAGAAAGGAAAACATATTTTATATACAATTATGTAAAAAGCTATCATTTTATAGTGACAACACTTAGAATATTTGTAATCTTATGCAAAGGCATTTATATAGAGAAATCCTCTATATTATAGAATTTTCCGAATGCGTATCGTTCAGGTGAAAAAAAAACTATCCTTATTTTAGTATAATGTTCGCAAAGCATCAATGAACTTTTATTGTCTTAATTTAACTTTACATGTATGTAAATAAAAAACAAAAGGTGCGCTATATCAGAAAATCGATGCATAAGTAAAAATACATTGTATAATTATAGTAAAATATACAAGAATAGATATTGCTAATTTGTTCAACAAGAAGGATACTGCTTATAATTTTTACTTTAGCATAGACGAATGTAGAGTTAGTTGTAGGTTAGTTGAAGGCACGGCATTAGTGTGAAACCGGATAATGCTATTTCCCAAAAATCTTGTATGTTATCTTTCAACAAGACATTGTAAAGGTCGCTGGCTTAAAAACATGTGACCTTCGTTTCTATGTATATGATTATCTGATCATTATCTTTCAGTAAACAGGCATTAAATTATATCATTTCAAGGAGCTATCAGTGCATTGTTTAAAATTCGATGGTTCAGCGGTGCTGACGGATGAAAAGATGTAGATAAGCCTAAGGGTCGATGAACTTGAACTTGCAATATACTCGGAAAATTCTACGTCTACTTTCTTTGAAATAAAATGGATAAGTTTAATATGTATTTATTTCTTAAGTTTTAACAAAATGCCGAAAAAGAATGGCATAAAATTGTCTCGTAATCCACATTGCTAATAAACAACAACAATAATATTAAATATGATGAATATTTATACTTTTATTTATAAGTATGAAGCGTATATATAATGTCATGAATCAATCACAAGTCTGTACAGACATTGTAATAAGACTTTCAGGCGACCCATTGCTGCGTATTTTCGTTTGTTGTACAAATCTGTATGCTAGTCTCTGTTTATTTATCTTTTGTACTTTTTTAATTACGCTTTCAATAAAAACTCGCTACAGATTTTTTTTTATATTTAGTATTGGATATTTGTTTCCGTTTTTGTTAATAATAACAAGAGAGCTACATATTTATATAAAGCATGTGGATCCGATAACATTCCTGTAGAAGTTTTAAGAAATGACTCATCAGTGTATTGTTTTCATGTTTTGTTTAATGCGTGTTTTAATACAGGGGTTATTCCTACCTCATGGGGTAAAACTATAATAAACCCTATCCCAAAATCGTCCACAACTGACCTGAGAGACCCACTTTCATATAGATGTATTGCCTTATCATCAGCCATGTACAAACTTTACTGTTCTATTCTTAACAGTCGTCTTAGTTCATGGACTGAAGATAACAATAAATTACATGACGAACAAAATGGCTTTAGACGAAAAAGTAGTACACTTGATCACATTTCATCTCTTTCAAGTATTGTTGAAACGAATCAAACATAAATTGTCAACATTTACAGCCTTTATAGATTTCTAAAAGCTTACAATTTTATCAATAGAGACATGCTCTTGATGCGTCTTCAAGAGTCGGGCATTTCTGGTAAAATGCACCGAGCTATAAGCTCTCTATATTCATTTGTTTCGTCATCAGTACGAGTAAACTCACTTAACACTGACTGGTTCGAGGTTCGAACCGGTCTCCGTCAGGGTTGTATTTTTTCGCCTCTACTTTTTAACTTATACATCAATGATTTGATCACATATTTGAAATCATTCAATGTAGGAATTGATATTGAAGGTGAAAAAAATTGTATCTTATTATATGCTGACGACATTGTGTTGCTTGCTGAAAACTCAAATGATTTACAGTGTCTGTTAAATGCTCTTAATGACTGGTGCTCTGTAAATGATATGATTATTAATAGTGACAAAAAGCAAAGTTGTACATTTTAGACATGTCGCAATTACTAGATGTTTTACTTGTGGCAACGATATATTTGAAATTGTGCATATATATAAATATTTAGGTCTAATTTTAACTGAACACTTGGACTTTAATATAACTGCTTAACATGTAGCTCAAAGTGCAAGAAGAGCCCTAGGTCTTGTTATAGCGAAATGCAAAAGTATAGGATGCGTTCCATACGCTGTCTATACCAAACTTTATGATTCTATTGTGTGGCCCCAGATAAACTACGGTGCAGCTATTTGGGGTGACCGGTCTTTCTCATGTGTTTATACCGTTCATAATAAAGCCTTGAGATTTTTTTTGGGTGTTGATAAATATACACCTAACGCGGCATTTGTAGGTGAGATGGCCTGGCAACCACCCGTCGTTCGCCAATGGAAATCTATATTTTCGTTTTGGGCTCGTTTATGTAATACAAACTCGTCCAGGCTGAATAAGAGAATTGCTCGTTGGGCTCATGGTAAAGCAAACGATAATTGTAAAACTTGGTATTTTCGTGTTAAGTTGAAATTGTTTGAATGAAGACTCGGCCATTTTTATGACATTTCTAACTA